TCATCGCCAATACACATGGACAACAAAACTAACACCACAGCGACAATGTCAATACACATGGACAACAAAATAATACCTCAGCGTCATTGCCAATACACATGGACAACAAAATAATACCACAGCGTCAACACCAATACACATTGAGAACAAAATCATTCCACAGCGTCATCGCCAAAATCCATGGAAAACAAAGTAATTACACAGCGTCATCGATAACATACATGGACAAGAAAATAATATCACAAATCAACGCCAAGATACATGGCATGGACAACAAAATAACACCACAGCGTTAGCGTCAATATACATGGACTAAAAAATAATACCACAATGTCATCGTCAATACACATGGACAACAAAATAATATCACAGCGTGAGCGCCAATATACATGGACTACAAAATAATACCACAGCGTCATCGCCAATACACATGGACAACAAAATAACACTACAGCGTCATCGTCAATACACATCGACAACAAAATAACACCACAGCGTCAGCGCCAATACACATGGACAACAAAATAACACCACAGCGTCAGCGCCAATAGACATGGACAATCACATGGATAACAAAATAATACTGTACCACAGCGTCATCGTCAATACTCATGGGCAACAAAATAACACCACAGCGTCAGCGCTGTTACAAATGGACAACAAAATAATACCAGAGCGTCAGCAACAATACACATGGACAACAAAATAACATCCCAGCGTCAGCGCCAATCCACATGAACAACAAAATAACACCACAGCGTCATCGCCAATACACATGGCCAACAAAATAACACTACAGCGTCATCGTCAATACACATGGACAACAAATAAACACCACAGCGTCATCGTCAATACACATGGATAACAAAATAATACTGTACCACAGCGTCATCGTCAATACACATGGATAACAAAATAATACTGTACCACAGCGTCATCGTCAATACTCATGGGCAACAAAATAACACCACAGCGTCAGCGCCAATAGACATGGACAATAAAATAATCCCACAGCGTCAACGCCAATATCCATAGAAAACAAAGTAATACCACAGCGTCATCGATAACATACATGGACAAGAAAATAATATCACAAATCAACTCCAAGATACATGGCATGGACAACAAAATAACACCACAGCGTCAGCGCCAATAGACATGGACAATAAAATAATACCACAGCGTCAACGCTAATATCCATAGAAAACAAAGTAATACCACAGCGTCATCGATAACATACATGGACAAGAAAATAATGTCCCATGGACAACAAAATAATACCACAGCGTCACCGCCAATACACGTGGACAACAAAATAATACCACAGCGTCATCGCCAATACACATGTACAACAAAATAATACCACAGCGTCATCGCCAATACACATGGACAACAAAACTAACACCACAGCGACAGTGTCAATACACATGGACAACAAAATAATACCACAGCGTCATCGCCAATACACATGGACAACAAAATAATACCACAGCGTCAACACCAATACACATTGACAACAAAATAATTCCACAGCGTCATCGCCAAAATCCATGGAAAACAAAGTAATTACACAGCGTCATCGATAACATACATGGACAAGAAAATAATATCACAAATCAACTCCAAGATACATGGCATGGACAACAAAATAACACGACAGCGTTAGCGCCAATATACATGGACTAAAAAATAATACCACAATGTCATCGTCAATACACATGGACAACAAAATAATATCACAGCGTCATCGCCAATACACATGGGCAACAAAATAATACCACAGCGTCAGCGCCAATACACATGGACAACAACATAACACAACTGCGTCAGCGCCAATACTCATGGACACAACATAACACCACAGTGTTAACGCCAATACTCGTGGACACCAAAATAGTACTGTACCACAGCGTCAGCGCCAATACATTTGGACAACGAAATAACACCACAGCGTCAGCGCCAATACACATGGACGACAAAATAATACCACAACGTCAACGTCAATACACATGGACAACAAAATAATACCACACCGTAATCGCCAATACACATGGACAACAAAATAACACCACAGCATCAGCGCCAATACCCATGGACAACAAAGTAACACCACAGCGTCATCGCCAATACACATGGACAACAAAATAATACCACAATGTCATCGTCAATACACATGGACAACACAATAACACACCAGTGTCAGCGTCAATACACATGGACAACAAAATAATAACACAGCGTCAGCGCCAACAGACATGGACAAAAAAATAAAAGCACAGCGTCAGCGCCAATACACATGGACAACAACATATTTACATTCTGTATGTTTAGACCCATTGACAAAAATTACATTCATAAATGCATAACACAGGTGTTCATAGAATCTCAGCACGTGGGAACTGATAGTAACCTGATCACACTGCGTAGTAATACACTACAAAAACTACTCACTCGGAACGACCGACCTAGATGCTTAATTCTTAAATCTTAAAATATTATTGAACTGTGTTTTGAGAAATATCCACGTATTCACGTGTCCTGTGCTACAAATACACATTGAATATGGAACTACATTTTGTTGTGTTATTGTTGTTGACGGTTGCTAAGATCTCTCACGATAGTGTCACATTTCCCCGCGAAAAAACACTGCGTTGCACCCGTGTATAAGCAGGAACAAACCCTGTTTATTTGTTTTATTCGTTGTTATGTCGATCCACTGAAAGGATTTGTCAATGTAAATATAAGGAATGATATTTATTTTTTCAACATTTATGAGGTCATAACAACAATGGGTTTATGGACATATTGAATGAATCCATAGCGTCATCCCCAATACACATGGATATCACAATAACACCACAGCGTCAGCGCCAATAGACATGGACAATAAAATAATACCACAGCGTCAACGCCAATATCCATAGAAAACAAAGTAATACCACAGCGTCATCGATAACATACATGGACAAGAAAATAATGTCCCAAATCAACGCCAAGATACATGACATGGACAACAAAATCACACCACAACGTAAGCGCCAATATTCATGGACTACAAAATAACACAACAGCGTCATCGGCAATTAACACAGACAAAAATTAATACCACAGCGTAATCGCCAATACACATAGACAATAACAGAATACCATAGCGTCGTCAGTTTTCTTTATTGATAAAGCTCGACTGCTGATTTTAACTACTGAACGATATTTTTTTAATTAAATGATAGCAATAATAATCATAAAACGTATCTGTTGAGATGACACAATAGACATAGCGTTTCGTCTCTTACTGCTAAGTGTTAGTTTACCGTATGTTAATTTTTATTGTGAGTATTGCAAAAATTACTAAATTTTCAAATCTGATCACGATCAATAATTGTCATAAAATATTAAATTGTTAGATTTATAAACATACTATTTTAATTACTGTTTATTTTGATTTTATCACAGATAGGTGCCCCGAGGGATGGTTTAAGCGGCTTAACCGATGTTATTTTTTTAGTGAGATAAAGGCTAGTTGGTATGGTGCGGAGGTGAGTACTAATTAAATGTGTGTAGCTGTTAATTGCTTTGAGTAAACTTTCTTAAATTAATTAAACTTTGAATATAACTGGTTCTTTCCTTTTAATACAAATAGTGAACGACTATACATTACTGGTTCTGCTACAACTGACAAAAACAACAGGCTTTAAAACAAGTTATTCACAACATCAAAACACGGTACTGTAGCCCAAATCTGGCGCCAACGACTGTGAAAGATGAAATACTGTCGAATGCATTTAAGAAAATATGCATTCTTTTATATTTAGACATAAAAAGGATTCAAGAAGTTTTATGAAAAGACCGCAAAAATCAATGAGCGAAAAAAATATTTCACTGAAAAATAGTTCTCCGTTAAATAATTAGTGAGGGCCTCAATATTTCGGAACCAATCTTCTTATCAGGAGGGGTAACCTAACCCTGAACCCGTCTGGTTGTCGGTCTGATCGCAAGGTCCACGCACAATAATTCCACCATTATTAAATCTGGGACTGTTGAGATCCCTGACATTGAGCGGACACTGCGCTTACCTGCCTAATAAAGGGAAAACATTGTTTTACTACAGGTATATTACATCGAGTCTGATTCTATCAAGAAGACGGGTAATAATACACGGTACCTCTAGCGTTCGAGTTTTCCAAGCTAAATCAATGGCGCTTTAGTCTTATCTGTTGTATTGGTTTATTTTCTATTTTGGTATAACACAACCCTTATTACTCTTGTGGAAGGGAAACACGATTTCCCTTTTCCCAGAGGTTAATCATTTTATAAGGGCGAATCGTGTAACATGACAAATATGGCGGTAACAGAAAATCTCGTTTCCCGAACCACAAGTAAAATAAATGTAAAATACGTCAGATCTTCGACAGCGTATAAAGTTATATTTTACCATGTATATCAATATATTATAATTCGTTTGTGAGCTCAGTACTAGGCAGTTGTGTGATCAACCCCTCGTTAATGGAATGACAGACGGGAAAGTTTGCAGTCTTAGTTCCGTCTAAAACTTAACATTAGTGACGTCAATAGTAGCTGCATGGCATGAATTTATTCTACGAAATGCATATGAATGTTATCTTTAAACACATTTCGTGAGTACACAACCGTGTTCTTTATACTATTGATTTTTTTTTTCGTGTTTGATAATTTGCTCATTGTCAAAATAATGTGAACAATAAGGCATCCAGCTACCACATCTCTCTGTGATGTCACTGTTAAAAGGCCCACCAGTGGCTAACCTATCTTAGCTGTTGCCGGAGTCGTAAGGAAGTCTCCTAATCCAATTACCTGTACTTTGTTTTGACTTAATGACATCGTTACAACAGGCACAATGCAGGGTAATGGGCGGCTACCTTGCCATACCCGACACCTTGGAAGAGAATAACGTACTGAAGGAATTGTCACGCACCGAGCGAGTACGAATTAGTCCAGATTTGGCTCACATACCGCGTACGTATATAAAGACGAAATTATGTAATCTATAAAATTATTTTGCTGATTATTTTATTTTAAATAGCATTCAAACATGAAATTTGATCTGATGGTAGGCCTGGCCTTATCTATGTAAGTCTTTCAAAATTGTTAACGACTATTATTTTATTTACCAATGACAAATACAACATACAAAGATTTCACATAATGTAAACATGTTTATTCATGAATGATTTGTGGAAGGACCTTTATGTACAAATGGATGCCATGTATGAAACATTCATGCTGCATGTTAAAACCGAATTATTTACCACAGATTTCGCCAGATGGATTGGACTACACACTGTCGATAGTGTCAATATCAAAAAGATAATCACTAACGAAACCCCAACTTTCACCAACTTTGTTCCGCCAGAACCAAGTACAGATTTAACTGTAGACATGTGCGTCAAGTTGGACGATGACACAGATTTCACCTGGGCAGTAAAACAGTGTTTTCGAACGTTCTTCTACATATGTGAGCGCAGCCTGGTAAGTATCATCCCAGCAATCCCTGATATCAATATTACACAGTAGTACTCGGTTTATTTCAACGTGAAATGAGATATTTAGATATAGGGTTATTTCCCGGCAGTTATTTTCACTGAAATGTAAATTAATTATATATATATAGGGTTATTTCGAGGCAGTTAATTTCACAATGACGTAAATAAATTCAATTTATATTTTATGACAGTTAATTTCACGGTAAGAGAACTCAACTCTCTCGCTCTCTCTCTCTATATATATATATTTACATGGTTATTTCGCGGCAGTTATTTTCATGGTAGAATAAATACAATAGATACAAATATAGAGTGACATCGCGGCAGATATTCTCACGGTAGAATTAATTAGTTATATATAAAGGTTTGTTTCGCGGCAGTTACGTTCACGGTAAGTTAAATGAGTTCTTTATATACAGGGTTATTTCGCAGCAGTAATTTTCACGGTAAGGCAAATAAATTTCATATATATGTATCTTCACCAATTTCATACATCATTAACAGTCTTGTTACGCTACAAACCTTACACCTGATCATCTACGCACTTCGTGAATATTTTCTTTTTTCAGATGAACACAAATATAACTTCCCGCAAAAGACAAAAACTGTAGACAGAGTCAGTATAAAGGTGCTTGGGTCCAATTTCGCGGCTCAATTGTATTCTTCATTTTCGCTGTCTTGACTTGGGCAACACCATTGTATCCAATGCAAAAAATAAATACACGAGCATCACTGACAAAAGGTTTGCTTACCCCTACCTATTTAAAGCCATTACACCCCTAGCGTTTTCACTAGTTATTTGCTTGAACAGCAGTAAACATGGAGCAATTACCGGTTTTCAAATATTTGGTAAAAAGGACTTATAGACACACATCCTGCTTCACTAGTGTAAACAGACATATAAACATGAAATCGGTCCTGTCAGATGATACATGTATAGAATAAATAGCATTTGACAACAGAGAGTCGACAATATAATTACAATGTAACGGATCCTCGAGCCAACCACTGTAACTACGCATTGTTACAATGTAACGGATCCCCGAGCCAAACACTGTAACTACGCATTGTTACAATGTAAGGGATCCCCGGGCCAAACACTGTAACTACGCATTGTTATAATGTAACGGATCCCCGGGCCAAACACTGTAACTGCGCATTGTTATAATGTAACGGATCCCCGGGCCAAAAACTGTAACTACGCATTGTTACAATGTAAGGGATCCCCGGGCCAAACACTGTAACTACCCATTGTTACAATGTAACGGATCCCCGAGCCAAACACTGTAACTACGCATTGTTCATTCTGGCATGACTACAGCCTCCGTAAATTACGTCTGAAAAAATAAATACCCTGCGGGATTCTTATGAAAACAAATAATGAAGGTGAAATTAATATGTACAATATAATCAACAATATTGTTCTGAGTTTAAAAAAGAAACCAGCGAGGCTAGACCGGGATTCGAAACCTGGTCCTCAGACTGTTATACTATCGCTCTAACCGACTGAGCTACCTGGTCAACGCAAGTGTCCTGACCCAAGTGTGCTACACTTATAACCAAAATTAAAAGGAGGTTACAGTATACACGATAATCTCCAGCTCGGCTTGGCGGTCTTAAAGATATTTATAGACTTGTCGATGTGTATACTAACTATATATATATCTATATATCAAATATCCAATTATCGTTTATTTGATTATATATGCCCAAATTAGCACACCCCCAAATAAGGACACCCTTTATCTACGAGTCGAAGAACATGTCTTATTTGAAGCTATGCTTTATGTGGGATGAGGAGCTGGGGAAAAGGGTTACAATTAATGCATTTTTAAACATTTTATTTCAGAAACACCGATTTACGTATAACATTTAAGAAGAAATTTTGAACAGGTCCTGAAACATTTATGTGAGTTTTTGAAACTAAATAAAATTAAAAAAAAAATATGAAAAAAGTTTGTATTTTGCTGTTTCACCAAAACTGAACAAAGAGTATCACACAATGCATTGTCAACGATACCAGCAACAATTTGGTCTGGTAATCAACATGTTGATAAAAAAAAAAACCGAAGAATTAGATACCGACAGTATATCAAATTATTTAGATATTGTTCAAAAGGATCCATAGAAGATGAAGTAACACGCACAGATTACTGCACCTTTGATATTTTTAATAGATTCAGTATGCCATCAAATAATTACACTGCAGCATATATAAGTAGCACATGTATAACGATTATCTTTGGTCAGCTATTATGATTATTAGCCGTTTGATTGCCTTCGTTTCACTAGAGATATAAGAATTAGCAGTACCTTCCAATTCCTATTGTATCAGCTAGTTATGATAATAATGACACACTATTGACTATCGGCGCAAATGATAATACACCGTATGAATATCATAGTTTACATACGAGGTAAACAGGAACATATACTGCATGGAAAGGCAAAACATTACATCGGTGTTATAAACAAGTAGACAGGCATTGAATTCATTATGCGATGTATTTATTGCAATAAATATAATGCCAATACAGATAAATGTATTGTGAAAATGTCTATCTTGAATCTAGTTTAATATTTGTAAACAAAGGTATGAAAAATAATATATCAAAGCATCTATACAATCTAGAACAAAATCGGAAAACGAAGTCTAGTCCGGACGAATCAGACAGCTACACTAAAACAACATGAAGCCAATGATAAAATCGGAAGCAGAATCCAGGAAAATACGGCAGTAAGCAACTTAAAGACGGAGTGAATAAGTTTTAATCGTGACGCTCATCGAAATTCCATTGATAGAAATAAATCGATGTGACAACTGTTACATTTACTCAATATATCTTGTAATATCTCCTTTTAACAGAAATGCAACAGACACTGATAACGACGTTTGGGCAACTGTAGCCTCAATACTACATAACGGGTTAAGTTAGTTTTGTCTCTATTTCATTCTATGCACTAGTAATAATATGTAGCGATAAGGTAATATATATAATATATTTACGCTGCCTTTTAAAAGAATATCTTTATTCATTCAACAAGAAAGAGGAATAAAATACTGCTTATAATGAGAAAGGATTAGATGGTTGATCTGATATGATCGAGAGTAATATATTTTTTTCTCTCATTTCCGTGTGTCGAAGATAGAGCCGTCCAGGGTAACAAAGGCGTGTAAGAAATTTCACGTGACGTGACGTCACAATGGCTCACCAATGATGTGACGTCAGGAATTTGGAAAACTCTGATGCCGCAATGCTGAAAAGGCTTCGTGGTGAAATTAAAACCTATCATGATGTGTCTACCGTACACGTTAGAAAGATGATATAACTTTTTTTTGCGCAAACAGTCTTAAAACTGTTTAAGATGCTATGCTTAATTTCGCTGACAGATTCATTTTCGTCTAAAAAGCTAAGGGGAAAAGTTGATATTTTCAAAATGGTAGTCAGTCCAAACGCATTTTGTAGGTTAGTCTTGTAGTTGGAATGAGTGAAAAATACTCTTTCGTGCCCAAGGGTGTAGGATAGGGAAATTCCACTCCTCGATATTTGAAAAACCCTCGGGTAGAATTTCCCTTATCCATGATCCCTGGGCATGAAAGAGTAATATAACGCTTCCCTTGTATTTTTTCTTAGGGGTTTTTGTTACATATTTATAAATAACACTACATATTGCATACAAGATATGTACTAGATTTCCAAAACATGTCAACGTCCATTACCAAGGTAAAAGTATCAGAGAGAGCCTGAAAAGCTTAAAATGGAAATTAATGGAAACTAAATAAAACCTGAAAGCCAAAATAGAATATTTCGTGTGCCTGATAAAGTACGATATTTTGAATCCATACACATTATACCCAAACTTTGTATTGGACGCTCAAGATCGGATTTTTTTTTCAATTTTGCTCCAAGTAAAGCGTCAATCATTTTTGAAAGTTGTCAATGACTGGCTTTAAAGGTAGTAGAGTAAATATTTGTAATGAACGCATTATTTAACCTTCACCTTTTTTACAGTGTTCTTGACTTTCGGTGAGGTGTCTCGTCGTTTTCTGTTCCAACATGGAGTTCTTAGTTTTGAGTATTGAGGCTGTGGTATATTGTTTTGTGTTAACCTTTGCTATACAGACCTTTTCAATGGTAAATTTTGTTTCTTAAGTATTAGTCTTCCATCATTTATAGGTTTGCTTTTATCTCAAATCAATACATTATACAAGTTTATAGCAAATGTTTGATTAACATGCAGTGTTGTTTACATTTAGGTAACAGGTATAGTGTAGACTACGCGAGCAGTATTTTTTTCAATTCAGGGTATGGGACACTCGCGTATAACATTCCAAACGGTTCACTAAATCGGTTTGCTAATGAAATAAGTATCAACATAGCATGTTTTAAGCACAAAGACTTCTATGGTCTGCATTAACATCCTAACCATGGTTGTCAAATACACAAGCAAATGCCTTTACCAAAAAAAGAAAGATATTATCACAGATAAATTACTGTGACGGATGTTTTGTCACAACGTGTAAGACGGTCACAATTGTTCCTTTTCCAGTCCAATTCCGTCACATTCAATTGTTGTTGAGGTCTTTGATAAGTCTTTCACATCAAACTTTGCCTGAAATCAATACAAAATAAACATGTAACATTATACTAGAATCTGGAAAATACTTGTGTCGTCTACTCTTTAATGGTATATAATAATAATAATAATAATAATAATAATAATAATAATAATATGCAACATTTATATAGCGCCCTATATAATTTGTAAAATTACTCTAAGGCGCTTTACAACATATGGATAATAGTAATGGTTATAATTGTGAAAACAAACAACAAAGGCTTGCAATCACTTTCATACATTTAACAAGCAATGTGCACATAATTGAACAAATAAATGGGTGGTATTTACATGACGTCTTTGCAAAGATTCTAAAATGCAGACGTGAAGAGGTGAGTGTGTATGTCCCTCTTGAACTTGGCCAGGGTATTTGACTTCCTAATAGCAGATGGTAATTTATTCCACAACGTAGCCGAAACCCTACCAAAGCATCTGTTTCCGTCGGTCACAGTACGAGATTTTGGGACACACAGCAAAGATTCTGACTCCGACCGCAGTGATCTTGACGGCTGATACAGGGTAACTACTGAGGAGCTGTTCCATTCAGTGCCTTGTATAAAGGTATACACTTGTAATTGTAAAACAGTTCACAGTGTCGCATTTGGCGTTTAATATGGTGTAGATTAACATCAGAACCTTGTTACCTCGACTTCAATAAACCGCGTTTCCTCTAAACACCAACAGATTATTCATTCCTGACTTCTATATTACTTCTAAGCACTAAAATGTTTTCAGCTTGGACATCACAAGTTGAGTAAAGCATATTTCTCCCATAACCACAATTTTTCTCTTCTCCGGAAGCATTGGTTAAAACGTGCAACGACTTGATTACATTCAGTGTTACCTACTACCAACTTGGACCAAACTGTATTTGTCTATCTTTTTAACACATAACAGTAATTATACCGGAATCTCCTTTGGTATCGTCCTATTACTCCGAAACAGGAATTATGTGCATATGGTTTTTCCAGATATAATATAAATTTTATGGGACAAAAGCATGAGCCCAAACTCGTTTAGTTCCTTTCTTTTTACATCTACAAGATTAAATAACCTGAGTTAAAAAAACATGATAATCAACAACCACGCTCTTGGGAACATTTAGTTTATTGTTAAACGGCTTAGTTTAGCCATATTTATTGCCAAAAGTTGACAATAAATTTAGGCACAAGTTATACCAACTTATGAACGCCTTCTCCCAATATACTTTTTGAATGACATTACAATTATTACAATCAAGTCTATACAATTGTGTAAAGGTCCACGGAAAATTGTGAATTGTAAAACAAATTTATTTCTAAATTTAACGCAACATTAAAATTATTTCAATTTTGAACCACGTCTTATAAAAAGGTGACGGTGACGGTTGTAGGCATACAGCTTCTGTGCTATCTATGAAAATTGCTCAATAAACTACCATTCCAAAGATAAAAGTGTGAACTTACTTACAAATACATGCAACAATCATAACATTAAGAAAACAACAAAGCTGAATTAAAAAAAAAAAATTCTCAGGAAAAAGGATGGAAATGGAAATTCCCCATCGGCCGTGTACCATGTAAAACTAGCTACTGAACTTGACAATTTACCCAGACTATACACTATGAAAGACGAACTTATCCGAGGTATTATCATACTAAGTAATTCACATTTGTATATAACTTGATTTATGCCTGACTCCAAGTAAATATCACCATGGCAAGCTTGTAAGACATGTTAAGTGCATAAACAACTAGAACACTTCAAATGAATTGAAAATGGCCGTTTTTATTAAAAACGACATGTTTATATAAAAAAAAAAAAAGTTTAAAGTTTTTGTCCAATGTACTTAAAAGTCTTAGATGGGGTAAGAAAACGCCCCTTTAAGAAGTAATCATCATATTGAGAAGGCGGCAAGGAGGGGAGGTGGTGGGTAATAAATTCACTTTATATTTTTCAAAATTAGATCATGATGTAAAAAGAAGGTACACACATTGTTCCTCCATCATCTTCAGCAGGCTTGTGACCTAGGGTCAGCTAGTGCAAGTTCTTATATAGGGTGCTAAAAATAGCCACAAATGCATACCACTTTTGACCTTCTCACCTCCTACTATTGGTCAGCGTCCGCTCATAATAGATACAACTAATACAGTACTTTAAAATTCATGATATTGAAACATAATGAAAAACAAAGAATTACTAGGACATTCATAAATTACATTAAACCAGGTTTAATTTGTATGTAAACCGACAAACAACTGAAGTAGCTCAGATGTTTTGCTATGTGTATGGCGGTATCTTGGTGTTATATGGTTCTTACATAGGGTTAT